ACAACGTTCAAACCTATGATTGCGTTGGATAAAAACGCAATTTTTATACGTGTGCATGCAAAACAAATTTCTTTGTAGAGGGGTCTAAATACAGCACAAACAACATTTTCCAAAAGACCAAAAAAGTGAAAAAGTATATTTTAACAAAACGCATTTGACTAGCAGGTCGAACAACGGATGTTCTTAAACCCTGCTGACTGCCATGGCGATTGCCAAATAAACGGATCACAGATGTAACACAATGGATCTTAATTATATTAATTTAATACCAAACAGAAAACAATAAACTTGCGGAAAAGATGGTATACCGCAAACATGAGGTGCACAAATTTGTACACCATATCCGGATTTCGACAATTAATGTCTCTTCAGTGATGTTAGGAATCGAAACGGTATTAGGAAGGCCATATAATTTACCTCAATTTGGGATTGACTCTTGAATTTTGAAGAGTCGGAATAGGATGAACGGATCATATAAACCCGAAGTCAAATATAATACAAGCCCAAACGAAAAAATATAAACAAGTCTAAATTGAAAACAACGTTCGAACAGAAATTATTTGATATCTCCGTTTTAAAATGTTTGTTTTGCCTTTAGATTATCTTACTGAGTAGGGGGCCTCGGTGGCCGAGTGGTCTAAGTAGTTACTACTGTAATCACTAGTCAGTCAACACTGAGGTTGTGAGTTCGAACCCCGCTCGTGCCGATGCACTCGACTCCAATCTTAATTGACTAGGATTGTCAGTTTTCCCTATCGAAGGTCGGTGGTTTTCTCCGGGCGCTCCGGCTTCCTCCACCAATAAAAACTGGCCGCCACGAAATAGCCCAAAAGCGGTGCTTAAAAGTGGCGTTAAAACACCAAAAATCAAATCAAATCAAATCTTACTGAGTATAAATAAATATAACCTAAGAAAAAGGCATTTTCCTAAAAGTTTTCTTATGTTTTCACGTATAAAATGTACGTAACATGAAATAATCACGTGTGTGTTTACAAATCTTCAGGAGATTTGGCTATTTATAGATAAGTGTTACCTGTGTACCGATATGCATGATTGGTAATCAGGCAAATCTATTTACTAAAATAAAGAGTTCAGATCCGACACTCTACGGGATTAAAAGACATTTACTAGGTTTGAATTGTCCAAACCAATGAACGAAATTTAATTATGACAGCGTCAGTAATATCTTCCAATTAGGTAGTAAGAAAGCCTCCAGCCCGCCGACTGTCCATCGTTCAACTCTTAATACCGTCTCCGAGGAGACGGTAATAAAAAGTAATCAAACAGAACTCAAACTATAGGAGATGTGGAATAAACTTCAATTTGACAGCAACCAAACGACAAAAACGCCATAGTTAAATCAGATATGTCTTTGAGTAAAAGCCAATTTCTATTGTTTCACTGTTTTTATTTCAAATAGCGCAATTAAACAATCACTTTTTCCAAATATATTTTTTCTAACAAAGCATCAAAGAAAAGATCAACAGCCCTTTTATCATTACTACTTAGCAACAAGGAAACATAATTTACCAGTTAAAGATTGGTTGGATCAATTTTCAAGGTGATCAGACATTACACAAGAAGAGCGCGTGCCCCGTAAAAATGTTAACTTGTATTTGTAGTATTTGTATTTTTATCCATCTGATGAGTTAAGCCTCTTTCAACTGATTTTTATAGTTCGTTCTTATGTTGTACTGTTACACCACTGTCCCAGGTTAGGGGTAGGGTTGGGATCCCGCTAACTTGTTTAACTCCACATTCTGTATGTATGTGCCTGTCCCAAGTCAGGAGCCTGTAATTCAGTGGTTGTTGTTTGTTTATGTGTTACATATTTGTTTTTTGTTCATTTTTTGTACATAAATTAGACCGTTAGTTTTCTCGTTTGAATTGTTTTACATTGTCATTTCGGGGCCTTTTATAGCTGACTGTGCGGTATGGACTTTGCTCATTGTTGAAGGCCGTACGGTGACCTATAGTTGTTAATTTCTGTGTCATTTGGTCTCTTGTGGAGAGTTGTCTCATTGGCAATCATACCACATCTTCTTTTTTATGATAACTTTTAAATCTCTTAAGATTTTCGAACCAACTTTGAACATATTTTTTTACATTATAATAATCAATCTTAATTTACGATCTTGGTGCATATTTAACCTTTCCATTCATATCCTTAGTTCAGACGACATAGTACTATTGGCAGAAAGTGCTGATGATTTACAAAAACAGCTGGATTCTTTCAGTGAATACTGTAATATTTGGAAGCTTAAAGGTAACTAAAGTGATGATTTTTTCTAGAGGCAGAATGCCGTCAAATTTACATTTTTATATAGCTATAGACGGCACTGACATTGAAAATATTAAAAGAATTTAACTATTTGGGCATATTATTATCTAGAACTGGTAATACTAAAGTAGCACAGAAACACCTAGCAGAAAAAGCCACACAAGCTATGTTTAAGGTGTTGAAATCAGGCCGCATACATAATCTTTCCACTCAGTGTCACTTAGATCTTTTCTATAAAGTTGTGAAACCCATACTTTTGTATGGATGTGAAATTTGGGGGCATGGTGATGTTGAAATTATAGAAAGAATCCATCAGAAATTCTGTAAACTTCTTTTGAAACTGAAAATTCCACACCTAGCTATATGGTATACGGAGAACTTGGTAGATATCCTTTAAATTAAAAATAGTATCTTATTGGTGTAAATTAGTATCTGCTAAAGAGACTAAGTTATCTTCTATCGCATATACACTATTAAAAACACTATTTACTGTTAATAATGTATGTACATTTTTTGTGAGTGAAGTTAAAAATATATTGGATGAATGTGGTTTTTCAAATATTTGGATTTCTCAATGTTTTGGTAATGATATATGATTAAAAAATGCACTTAAGTTGCGATTACAAGACCAATACAAACAGTTGTGGAATACACAATTTCAAGAGTCTACATAATCAGTAAATTATAGAATTTTTAAGTTAGAATTAAATTTTGAAAAAAAATATTTTGATATGTTGGATATGCACGAAAGTATTATTTTATGTAGATATAGAACCACAAACTACAGACTCTCAATAGAGACAGGGAGGTGGAATAATGTTAATAGAAATGATAGAAAATGTCATCTTTGTAATATTGGTAGCATTGGAGACGAATTTCATTATCTGCTAGAATGTCCATTTTTTAACGACAGTAGAAAATTATACCTTGATAAGTACTATTTGGCTTATGTTAATACACTAAAGTTTAGAAAATTGATGAGCAAATTAAACAAAAATTCAGAGCTAAAAAGATTATGTAAGTTTATAAAGTGTATAAATAAAAATGTGGGTCCTCCTAGCTAAAATGTATATTATTTGGAAACCACTGTATTGTATATATGTTTTGTAAATAGATGCATATTCATGTACATATTTTGCACTCTCTCTGTACCTATGTATCTGCAATGGTTATGGGAATAAAGATATTGGTATTGGTTTATATGAACTCGTCAAGCTTCGGTGGATTCAATCAACACTATGATAACTGGACACATTATACAAAAGTCGGCGCGTGCCATGTAAAATGTTTATAACTCTTTCATTTCTAAATACATTTACACCAAAATTTAAATATATGCTCTTTATTTACAACATTATCATACTGAATGACCTTGGTACTTATATGACTGTTCCATCGTGGGCTTAGTGCAGTTTTCAGAGCTTAACGCACCAAGGCGGCCTAGGTGGTGTTTAGACGCTCAAAACATAAATACTTCAAAGCCAGTGATGTATAAGTACGAAGAAACATGAGGAGCGATTTGACCAAACGGAACCTACAAGAAAGGTCATATTCATATAAGATCAACTTTGCCTGACGCAGTTGGAATTATAGTTAAATGTTTAATATATCAAAAGGATTTGTAGAAAGGAATATGTTATAATTCTTGTCAGTAAAACATCACTGACAACTGACCTAATAATATAATGTATTTAAGAACAATCTGTTATCAAAGGACAAACAAGCGTTAATGAGTAATTATCTAGAAGGGGAACTGCATAATATTGTAAAGATTAATTTCAAAATTTAATTTCATTATACATTTCTGGAAATTAAATTGGAGGATAAATGTATCATTAGACCTAACAAAATCCACAGCATTCCCTTCAAATATGTTAATCTTAAAATATTCATTGATATTACTTGTTGTATTTTTTTGTTCAACTATGAATAACATTATAAAAATATTTAAATAATCAGATTCGTTTAAAAGAAATCAAAACCGAAAATAGATAAAAGTAAACAAAAATATGTTTCGCATCTTAATATTTAGAACGACCATATCCTAACTACTAACTATTACGGAATTGTCTTTATAAAGGAGACTGGGGAGGAAATCTTTTTCTTTTGCGTTTTGTGTTTACGACTTGTCCTAGAAATAGAAAAAATAAATTAACGATCCCTTTGTTCAAAATAATTGCAATGTCAATCATCTCTTCGTCCTATTTTTTGGCTTATTTTGGGCTTTTGTATTACCAATAACTTCTATAATTGTGCAAATTTCAGTTTCAGAATTTACGTAATATAGCACTACACATTGCTGTTGGGGAGAAAATTGATACAAGGTTGCAACACTTGCATTGTTTATTTCGAAAAACAGCTGTAACTTAAATGAATTGATTTGTATTTGAAAGACAATACACAGCTGCTGTTTCGAACTATCTGTAAGGATCTTTTATGTCGAGATTTTTCTATTGAATTACACCATAATATTGTTCAAACAAAATATGCATTGGGCTTTGATGATTCAATATTAGTAAATTCTAATTAATTGTACACTTCTTAGAGACTCTGAGACCCTTGTTAAATCTCATTCTGATATCAGAAAATTGCAGATACAAGGCTCCTGCATGAGGTCGCCATTAAACGTTACCATAGGTAAAGTTATTGTTGATTCAATAACCAAAATTAAATCTTCAGCTAACATTTACACTATTAATGCGTGTATTTGTTGTCTAATTCTGAAATTGATACCGATTTTATATGCCTATGGATGTTTTAAACTAGTGGTGTTGATCCATTTTGTCATGTGGTGAGTTTTATTCTTTATTAAATAAGGACAGTCGTAACCAGCACAAATATTTGGCCACGACAGTATATTTACATTTTTCTTTCCGATAAAATCAAATCATTTTAATAGATTTTTTTTCTAATACAACATTTCACCAAATCATGTAACTTTAGCCATGATGTATCAAATCTGAAAAATACATAAGATGGATCAACATGTTTTTTTTTAAATATACTATTGATGCCTATTTTTAAATTCCTGTGGGTCTTACCAGCATTTGGATTTTGGTCTTAAGGGTGAGAGTAATACAAATATAAACAGGAATATTGTAGCTTGAGATCTCCCGAAAATGCAAATTTCAAACCAATTTTCAATAAGAGGTAAGTAGAGAATAATAATAAAGTTGTTTTTCTAATTTTATATTAAGTTTTTTTTTACGTTTTGTTGTTTGTTTAGTGTTTTAGTTGTTTTCTTTCTTTTTTATCTTTGTTTGCTTGCTTGTGTATTTTAAAATTGTTTTTGTTTTAGTTGTTTTGAATTTAATGGTGTCTTTTTACTTCCAATTTCGATTTCCAGAAAATGATTGTGATATTTTATCATTATCATTTAAATGTGCTATATATATATCCGTGAAGTAAGTAATAGTATCAATGTTTTCTTAAACATTTAAATACTTCAAGTGATGGAATACACTTTTCTATGTCACTCTTCTCTTAAAATATAGTTTCCAGAAAATTAAAATAAAAATCATTCATATATTTGTTTCCTATTTGTTCCCTTTAAAACCATTCTATTAGTAAACCGGTACCTTTCTTGCTGTCGTTAACATTAATTTTGAGCTATAAAATTTAGTCATTTCAGTTCATGATAACAATTTAACAAGTTTTAATTCATATACATTTTCCTGATTAAACTAGATAAATAATTTTATGGTTTACAAAATATTTTCCCACAACCGAGGCATGAAATGCAATACTTGCCGTTGGTTGCTGTCCATTATATTTTTTTCCAGTTATTGTTAAGTCATAAATCAAGCCATTGATCGTTCGACCGAAATGATTTTATGGGATTTGTTTCGTGTACAGTTAACGGCCTTGCATTGTCCCTAATCTGTATACACTAAAATTCATTAATCAAATAGATCGATAAAAATATTTAACATTGATTGTGCAGGATTTCATATATTCAGCCTTTTATCTGTGATCTTTATGAGCATTGTCTATTATAATCACATTTGATAATCTTTTTTGACCTCTTAAGATATTTACAGTTCAATCTGATATTTATTTTTGTTTTTTTCTCTTTTGTTTTATTGAATTGATTTCTCATTTTTTATGGCTTTTTTTTTACTTCAATTTCGATTTCCAGAAAATGATTGTGATATTTAAAATGTTTTATATATATCCGTAAAGTAAAAAGTAAAATAAACAAATTTACCGAACTCTAAGGAAAATTTAAAACGGAAAGTCCCTTATCAAATGGTAAAATCAAAAGCCCAAACACATCAAACGAATGGAAAACAACTGTCATATTCCTGACTTGGTACAGGCACTTCTTTATGTAGAAAATGGTGGATTAAATAATAGTAGCAATGTTTTCTTAAACATTTAAATACTTCAAGTGATGGACACTTTTCTATGTCAATCATCTCTCAAAATTCAATTTCTAGTAAATAATATTGAAAATCATTCACATATTTGTTTCCTTTAAACAATTATATTGAGAAACCGTTAACTTTCTCCGCTCGCATTAACATGAGTATTGAGCATATAAAGGTAAATTCTCTCATTCCATGGTTACAATTTAGCAAAGGTCTGATATATATATAAAATGACTGAATAATAGCCAACGATAAATCTTACGGGGCGATGGATCATAAAATTATACAGTACACTACAAAATATAATATATAACAAGTCTAAAAGGGTACAACATCACCAAAAAATAATTAAATCATGACGAATTTTAGATATTTCGGATAACTAATATCCTTCATCAGTAAGATGTAAAATGAATCTTATCTTGACATGTGGTAGTCAAACTGAAATAAAAATCTTGAATGCTATACAAATTATCAATAATCAATACGCTGGCATTTTTTTCAATAATGATGTTTGGGAGGAGGAATAATTTTTTTTAAAACTGTAAGAGTCCAAAACGGAAGCCTGAGTTACTGGAAACAAGTGATGGTAGGGAAAATAAGTGACACATTCTACGTTTTTACATTTATGCCCTCTGGGAAAACTGTCCTAAGCTTTCTTATTCAAAACCTATAGAAGTTTATTAAAATTAATAACCAGCAAATTTACTATGAAACGGATCGTCTAGAATAGACGATACTGTGCAGATAAGGAAAAAATCATATAAATCTAGAGATTTGTACAACGATACTAATATAAGATGGTATAATACGAAGATGTTGTTATTAAATCGTGTTGACAAATATTTCGGCTTAACAAATAGCCTTCTTCAGTGTTAATAATTTTAACAATACTGATTGTATGTATAAAAATAGCTCAGTAATACAGGTAAGTTTTGGTCTATTGATTTAATCCAAAATCCTGAACATCATAATATAAAACAAAGCTCGATACTCAAATATCTATATAAGTACGTCTGAACCAGTGACGACTCTACAATAGATTTTATCCATCGGATCACCAGGAGTGATGGTGATACAAGGCTGAAAATACATTCTGTATATATAATTCGTCTAAACAACAGCCTAACACTGTAAGATCTATAAATTTGCGGAAGCAAATTTTTTGTTCTTCCCTGGCCGATGGATAAACTCTATTGTAGAGTCGTCACTGGTTCAGACGTACTTACTTATAATATTATTATTTCTGTGACTGCATCTTACATTAATTTGTAGGATCCTTTACAATAGATAATTTAACTGATCTGTAACAATTCCATCTTAATGCCTTATATATCATGTACTGTGTTTTGTTGAAATAGACTTTCTCACTTTTTTGGTCTTTTGGAAATTGTTGTTTGTGCTGTACTTAGACCCCTCTACCAAGAAATTTGTTTTACATGCACGAGTATAAAAATTGCGGATTTTATCCAACGCAATCATACGTTTGAACCTTGTTTTCAATTGAGACTTTTTTATATTTTTATATGTAGTAATTAATTAAGATCCATTTTTACATCTGGTGACCCGTTTATTTGGCAATCGCCATGGCAGTCAGCAGGGTTTAAGAACATCCGTTTTTCGACCTGCTAGTCCAATGCGTTTTGTTAAAATATACTTTTTCACTTTTTTGGTCTTATGGAAAATGTTGTATGTGCTGTATTTAGACCACTCTACCAAGAAATTATTTTGCATGCACACGTATAAAAATTGCGGTTTTTATCCAACGCAATCATAGGTTTGAAGGTTGTTTTCAATATAGACTTGTTTATATTTTTTCGTTTATGCTTGTCTTATATTTGCCTTCGGGTTGATATGATCCGTTCATCTTATTTAAACTCTTCAAAATTCAAGACTCAATCTTATATTGAGGTACATTATATGGCCTTCCAAATACCGTTTCGATTCCTAACATCACTGAAAAGACATTAATTGTCGAAATGCGGATATGGTGTATAAATGTTTGCACCTCATGTTTGCGGTATACCATCTTTTCCGCAAGGTTATTGATTTCTGTTTGGTATTTGATTAATAAATTAAGATCCATTTTTACATCTGGTGATCCGTTTATTTGGCAATCGCCATTGCAGTCAGCAGGGTTTAAGAACATCCGTTGTTCGACCTGCTAGTCAAATGCGTTTTGTTAAAATATACTTTTTCACTTTTTTGGTCTTTTGGAAAATGTTGTTTGTGCTGTAATAAGACCACGCTACCAAGAAATTGTTTTGCATGCACACGTATAAAAAATGCGGTTTTTATCCAACGTAATCATAGGTTTGAACGTTGTTTTCAATTTAGACTTGTTTATATTTTTTCGTTTCGGCTTGTATTATATTTTGCCCTCGGGTCTATATGATCCGTTCATTTTACTTCGACTCTTCAAAATTCAAGAGTCTATCCTAAATTGAGGTAAATTATATGGCCTTCCAAATACCGTTTCGATTCCTAACATCACTGAAGAGACATTAATTGTCGAAATCCGGATATGGTGAACTAATTTTTGCACCTTTTGTTTGCGGTATACCATCTTTTCCGCTAGTTTATTGTTTTCTGTTTGGTATTACATTTTATAGTTAAGATTCATTTTTTACATCTTGTGATCCGTTTATTTGGCAATCGCCAATGGGAGTCAGCAGGATTTAAGAACATCCGTTGTTCGACCTGCTAGTGAAATGCGTTTTGTTGAAATATACCTTTTTACTTTTTTGGTCTTTTCATAAAATGTTGTTTGTGCTGTATTTAGACCCCTCTACCAGGAAATTTGTTTTGCATGCACACGTATAAAAAATGCGGTTTTAATCTAAAGCAATCATAGGTTTGAACGTTGTTTTCAATTTAGACTTGTTTGTATATATTGATTCTTACATTGATACCAGTGGATTATCGGATTTATCCAATCGAGATAGTTAAATTATCAATTTTAAAGTCCGACCCTCGGCGAGGACTTTAAAATTGATAATTTAACTATCGAGATTGGATAAATCTGATAACCCATGAGTGACTATGTAAGAATCTGTTTCTCTAATGATTAAAAAATAAATTTTTATATTTTGTTCAACGAAAATCCCCTTCGAGTGCCTTCCACATTCCATGAAGTTGTCAATTTCATTAACACCTGTTGCCATATTTTGATTCATCTAGTGTGCTGATAAAGATAATGACCCTTAAATTCATCCAATCATCTTCTGAGATCACCGGCAACCACACGTTGATTAAATTGTTTTATACAATGGGTTCGGAAAGGGATAAATTTCCATAGAATTAGAGAAATATATATATGTAACAAAACAGATCTTATCATTAAATTATTACCAAACAGAAAACAATAAACTTTGATGGTATACCGCAAACATGAGCTGCAAAAAATTTGTACACCATATCC